TTTYATATCGTCACCTSAAATGCAAAATMACGTATCATCAAAAAATTSGAAATYTAGTGTCTTATTGATTACGCTTCACTWCTTCAAATTRCATACATAATATACAAATGTTCAACAATTTCAGGTTCTGCGCTCAGATTTGAACCAGTTTTATCCAATATTAAAAYATWTTGTCACTCATGTTTCATTTTATTTCGTGTTKCGTTCATGCCACTGTAAATTTCCGAAAAKGTTGTTACGTTATTTTKCATTTCAGGTGACGATAYACACTTTAATATAATTGTCAGAASAGAAATGAAGGTARATTTGATACTMTAAAARGRCTGCTTTCAAGTTAAATTAATACTTATCAGTAGTTCAAAATTGATTTCAATTAYTAGTATGCAATTTAGCTTAATTGCTTAATTATTTTCGCATCTTTTAGGCGTTTGAAATAGCATTTTACTCGAGAAAAATTAAAGATGAGTAAGCAAAGTATTGGGGAGAAATTAAGTTCAAGTCAACCCCATGTATTACAGGAGCAAAAATTTTGACAAAAATCAAATCCGTCTTTCTAAAAATAGTTTGATATTTGTATTCGCATATTTTTTGATTTGCTTTGCAGTGCCTTTTTACAGCTTTTAAATTTAAACAAAAATTATATATTTCAATATTGTTTTAAGAAATTTCTGAAAGAATACTAGCAGGCTTATTGACGAAAAATTAAATTAAAAGTAAGTTAAAATAAAGTTGAAATAAGTTTATTATAGTTGAGCCAAGTAAACGATAAACTAACATGCATTCGTGAAAAATTATTCAACAAATTATATTAAAATAGTGATGTCAGCCTGAATGAAACTTTGTATAAATTGCTAAAATAGAATAGGTAACTGTTGCTTAGCTTAATTTGYAAACTTGCTGRTCTGMCTACTTTCTAGCGCTTAACGAAGAACTGACTAATATCTACGTTAGCGGATTCTACCGTTCCAACGACAGTGGGGTCTACGTAATCGGAACATACCCGGATATTTTATCCGCCCAAGGACTGTCAGCTCAGCAGAATTCTGCCGTTATTACAACAACAACAAAAAACATACATAATCCGAATGTAATCGGATTTTTGCCATCTCTGATTTCTGTCTGCTCGACAATATTCCTCAAAATGATTTCAAATTTGTAGGCCTCCTCCTCGACAAAAATAATGATTCATCGATTTGATAATTTTTGTATAGCTCCTCTTGTACATTTTCTTTTTACACCATGCATTAGAAGCTTAGTGAAAGTTCAAAAGTTTACTAAAAGCTCGAATACTTATTGGAAACACTAACTTGTTAAATTTGGCCAACTTTTGCTAAGGATTTATTTTGATAAACATTTTTTTAATATTTTAAATTTGTGCAATATCAGAAAATACTGTTTGGACTTTGTTCGTATCATCTCTTAGGCGTTCGATATATTTTAATATGATTTTAAGCAATTCCTGAATTATTGGGAGATTTATTGGTGAAATTAAACTATAAACTATTATTATTCAAATGTTTCAAAAAAATTTGGGTAAACTTATTAAAAACTTTAAATTAAATTTAAAAAATATGATGAAAAATTGAAAAGGTTGTATTTTGAGTGGTTAGTGCTTTATGCATAATATGTATGGTGAAAAATGATACAATGCATTTTAGAAAAGTTTCATCTGCTATTATGGTTTCCGAAGCACSGATTAGTAGTGATACCAACCATATTCAAGATATCTGGATATTCTTTRTAAAGATGAAGAACATATTCAAATATGGAATATATTTGCTTATAATACATTCATATATTTGGAAACAAATCAAATATGGCAAATTGCTATTTGAGCAAAAACTAATATCTACTGGCAAGTCTTACTGCTTTCAGGGGCTCTGTCTAATTTGAGTAGGTATTATTTAAATATATTTGCTTTATCCATGATATAAAACCAATTTTGTATTTTTAAATTTCGTTAAAATAAGGTCCTTAGCTAAATATTAAGATTTGATAGTAGATATTTGTATGCCTATACTATATTTATAAAAAAACGGCCAATGGAGTGATACCTCGCTGATTTCCGTAGCATTCTTTAAGCGCTTAGACATATATTTATTTTAAAGTAATGGATTATATAAAATCTTTCAATATTATTCTTTTCGCAACAAAATTTTTCTCACAAATAATTTTTCAACATCAAAATTTGAAATTTTTATTCAAAGTCAAAAAGTCATTGAGCGCCGAAAATTATGAAAATATATTTTAACATCTTTTCTTACTTGCCTTTTTCGGCATTTTTATTTCCGAAAATTTTATTATGCTAAAAACAAAGTCACCCAGCCGCCGAAAATCAATAATTACTGTTGTTGCTTTGTGTTAGCGCAGAAGTTCCCACATTACATATGCAAAAATAAGTGTCTGAATGAATATTGTAAAGAGCTACTTTATCAGCGATTTTGTGTGTACTTGAATTATTACCATTAGAGCGATTTCGGGTTGTGCTCTATTATTCATGCGCTCATGTGACATGTGCGGCCACAGTTAAATAGCACGAATATTCTTTTCAACATGTTGGCTGCCACAAGAGCAGACATGAATTAAATACCAAAGCTTTTTGGCACACACAGCTATAAACAATATATGTATAGGTGTGTCTACTAATGGTATCTGTAGCAGGCCACGAATTCAATGAATTTACTGTCTCTTCTCTTGCTTTGTTGCTATCAAAGCACAAACATTATAAGTGTACGTACGTGAACACAGCCAAAAACAAAGTCATGTGAGCACGTACAAAATTCTAAGAATGTGTGCGTTTAAAAGTTTTGTATGCTGCATAAATTATTTAAGTAGCACAAGGCTAGAAACATAGAAAACAACAAAGACACACAGGAAAAATATGTTTCAGCGCTGTAAGCGACATTGACGACGGCCATTGTGGTCGCAGCTGGCTGGAATTTTGAAAGCGCTAAATTTTTGGCAACTTGCCAATATTTTATGGGCAACCAACGCACTAGCACACTGACACAAATTCAACATTTAATGTTGCGCCGCAGAGGCTGACAATTAAATGCGCGCATTTCTCGCCAACTAGTGTTTTATATAAGACAAAATTTTGTGCAAACTTTTGAGTTTGTGTAACAAGAATTGTGTTTCGCAAGTTTGTCTATGTTATACGCCTAAAGCCATGCTGCATTGTGAAAGCATACTTTATTTGCCTCGGCATAAAAATGTAAAAAATCAAATACTTTTTTTTTTTGTTTAAATAATGCCTTTTAGCTATTTGCGCCAACTTTTCTAAAGCTTTTATTTTTGCCTTGCTTAACTTATTGCTTTTTTGTTTTTTTTTTTTCCTTTCCTCTAGGTGCATTTAGTTTTGTGAGCAGAGACCAGAAAAGCAATCCACAAATAAAGCAAAATTTTTGCGCACAACATCAGTGCGAGCTGAGCAGAAACAATAAACAAGCAGCACAAGAGTTGAAGCGCTGCTGGCGCCAAAGTCTTTGGGGAGCAAACTTTTGCTTAAACCTTGAACCTTTGCCATAGTGTCTTTGTCTTAACGGCACCGAGCGCCCAGTTGCTACGTCTTGCTTTATTGAAAGCATGCCAACAGGCAGAAGACACACCAACGCATTTCGACACACAACCACACCTCTTTATATATAGATGTGCATATTTATATAAAAGTATGCATGCATTGGCCTAATGCGTTKATTGTCAGGCGCAAATTTGTGCCAAGAAAAAAGCAAAAAATCAATAATGAGAAAAAAAAATGTGCACGAAATGAGCGCAAACGGTCACAGGGTAGCGGAACTTCGCACGCTTTGCATAGCAATGCAGCTATATATAATATTTTTAACTACTTTATGCGCTACTAAGTAAGACAATAGCTGGGMACTTTGTTAAGTGGTTGGCGCTCTGTCATAAATTGCTAATAAATATTAAATTACGCACGAGTAATTGCTTTTACTGCCTAAAGGTATGCTGCATGATTCAGCGTTAGCAATGCAATTGTGCGCAAATTTYCATTGCGCTAGAGGCAAATTATTAATACATTTCACTTGCAACAAGCAYCATTTCAAGTATACAACGATTTTTTCTTAAAAAATATTTAACAATTCGGACGTAAAGCGTACATATATTAGCGTTTACACGCCATTCACCTGGCCTACTTTTAGGCTGCTAAAATTATTGMATTTAATGTTTTCTTACTTTAAAAATACACTTAAGCTAGCACTTACATTTCGTKTGGTTGTGGTTAAAGTTGTTTGTCGCGTAAACGTTGTAGTTKTAGTAGGAGGAAGTCGGCGTGTGGATATGTATTTAGTAATAGGCGCAGTAAAGTTTACGGAAAAATAGTTAAATTGTAGTTTAGTAGTGTTTAAGTTGTGGAAAGTGGCCAATTAAACATTGAAAAGTCGTTGACAGTGTAGAAATATAGTTGCATATTTAGTTTAAGGTAAGAAAAGTAGKTAGCTAAGTGATTTAAGAAAAGCTTTTAGGCGAAAAATTTGATGTGCCTTAGAGACTGACGGTCTTTAATGAAGCTTTGAGGCGAAAAATTTTATGTTTCTTAGATACTGACTTTTTTCAAATATTAGCTTTAATGAAAGATACTGACTAAAAACCTCACTGTTTATTYTGGGTATGATATTAAAAGCTAAATAGGTTTTGAAAAAGTTTATCTGTGGATGGTTTTCTTAACTGATGGCAACTAATTTGTATAACATTTAGTAAAGAAAAATGTTGTGATAAATTTTGAATAATGGTCTTTACTAAATTGGCTTTCGAAAGCTTGTTTTCMAAATTATTTAAATATCATAAACTTCTACAAAAMCGCTGCATTTCCACCTYAMTTTTGTTGCAGTAAAAACTAAAACTCAATCTACAAAGACACGCTACCTCATTTGCACACGGCAGTGGAAAAGTCTTGACCAAGTTGCACAAATATTTCTCTTCAACACTGACAACATTGTTACGGAAAAAAAATACGGGAAAAATATTTTTCGAATCATACCAATGAAATTCATGATTCCTTGGCGCTTTCACTAAATACTATCTCGTTGTTGAGCCCGTTTTGTATGTGTGTGCTGAATGCGTTACGCTGTGCCGCCTTGCGTTCCGCTTCACCAAATCTACTTATAGGCGCACACAATTACGCTATGCACTATTGCTCAAATGCAATGTATTGTTATGTGTTGTGCTTTGCTATGCCGCAAACCGTCTACCCGTCKGACTGTCCGTCACTAAGGCCACTGATTTTGGTTGTCGTCGTTGTYGCTTGCACAGTGACTGTCACGCCTCACAGCCTTCAGCCGAAATCGTTGTCGTCGTTGTCGTCGTGTTTTGCTTCGTTGCTACATTCGGCCGCTCCGATTTTGTTGTTGCGTTGTTTGTCAAGCACACTGTCACTATTTTGTCGTAGTATTGTTGTTGTATTATTAGTTTGACTATAACTGCCTGTACTGGTATAAGTGTTTGTGTTAGTAATGTTGATGTTGGTGGTGTTGGCAACTAGTGCTGCCACCAGGTACAACTTGGACTGACGCACTTTGTGCACTGAACTGACGACGGCCATGGCACTGGCTGTCAACTGGCGACCCAGAAGAATGCCCAACGACTGCAGTGACTGGTTTTTGAAGTCGCATCTACGAAGCATCGCCGGAAAGTTGCTGCTGCTGCTGCTGCAGTCGTTCAAGGGCCGAAGCGGCATGCTGGCGCGAGGGTTGCTGTGCGTTCGTGGTGGTGAGCAGCGGTGAGCGGCTGGTTATGGAGTGTGCTCGCAGCCGAGCGCACGTYAAGCTGCCGAAGTGGCGAGTGATTTGCCGAGCGCGTTGCTCATTGACTAACTGGCTTGCTGACCGAGCGACCGACTTAGCGTTATAATTCGAAATTAAGTTGGCGAAAACTTTGTGTGGCTTATTTCCTGTTAAGGTTGAGTCGCCTGGTGGTAGGTAACTTATTTAACAAATTCCTACACTCGAACGCCGTTTGAAGTTTTTTTTGTGGTATACCTTTAAGCGGTAGAGCAATTTATTTAGTTAACACGCACTTTATAAATGTGGTATACTCTGGGGCGCCTGTTGTGCGTTGTACTGGTTGCGTTAAACTTCAAACTTCAACTGTTCATTGCGTGCTGTGTGCGCTTACGTTTTGGGTGCCCTTCGACTTCTCATGATTATATCGCAAGACCGATCACGAAGTTAAATATTTGCTGCTGCTGCTGCTGCCGGAGTCTGTGTTAAAGCACAGCATCGCCGCGCTAAGATGGAGTCGTKCGATGTGGGTGCTAACACTGCTCCGAGTTGTCGATAGACGTGGTTTGTGTGYGAAAGTCGGGGGAAAGCAGCAAGCGCTCGGTTGTTTATCGAAACGAGTTTTAACGGTGCGTTGGTCATGACAGGCAATCGCACAGGGGTTAAAAYTGTAGGCAGCGGGCGGCAAGCAATGTGTATTAAATGCGGTAAGAAAGGGAGAGGGAGGGAGGGACGTGCTATTGACGGTCGGAGCTGCGCAGTTGAAAATCTATGCTATTGTGGGTGGCAAAGTACCTTCCCATGCTAGCGAGAGCGAGAGAGAATGAGCGCGCACTCTCTTTCCATGCGCTCAGCCCGACGTGAGTATGCGCATTCGCACGCTGCATTAGAGCGTTCAAAATWGAGAGCGCCCGTGTTAAAATTTTGGTGGAGGTAGGTGTATCTTTGACTCGGTTGGCTTGTAATGGTCACATGGTCGAATGCTTACTTTGTAAGCCGTGTTGCAGCTGTTTGTGTGTTTCTATCACGAGCATAGCACTTCGGGAAATCGAAAATATTTGCGATGTGCGTAAGAGGGATGGCTGCAGAAAACCGACATTCACTATCAGAGTTGAAGTCAACGTCGTGCGTCGTGCGTCGTGCGTCATGCGTCGGTGCTAGCGCCAACGTCAGTTGCTGCAGCACCATCAGCTAGTGCGCTCTCCGTTAGCGCGCTTTCAGAYCTTTCGCCATGCAAATTACTTTCGAGTGAGTGCAATCGTTTTTATCGCGCACGTGCTAGCAACAATTTCAGTCATATGGTGTGAATTGAGTGTGTTTTTAGGCGCAAACGCCTTTCGCTGTTCACTCAGACCAAAAGTRTTCAAGGTGTAGTTCCTGTAAACTACTCGAGCTATGAGTGAGTGGAAAATTCATTTTTGTGAACCTGAGTGGTTTGCATTTGTTGGGGTATAAAATGAATGAGTGGCACAGCTAATCACGTGGATAGGTAATTAGTCTTTACTCAAACGTGCTAAATCTGGTTATTTTGAGATAAGATTGTACTTTTTTTTTTTTTTAATTCGGAGTTAATTGAAATGCAGTATAGTTTTTTAAGTTGTTAAGAAAATAACTTGTACGGTTGCTTAATACCATTGTTGGTAAGAAATATTATAATTGCAGAATTAAAAATAGCAAAATATTATATAGCATTTTTTTTAATTGGAACATAATAAGTTATAAAATAAAAATCAGTGGCTCAAAATTAAAATCATGATATCAAATTTTTTGCAGAATTCGCCAAGTTGGTTGTTGAAAGTATTCATAAAAGCATTGACTCAATACAGCCCTTCCTATTGCATCACTGTCAGAAAATGTTATGAGTAAAAACATAGTAAATAGTAAAAAGAATCAGAGTACATTACTTACAATTCTATTATGGCCATATATTTCTCTTTCGAGAAAAATGAAAACTTTTTCTATGTTGAAAATTTGGGCGTACCTAAACGGTAGCTGGTTTTACGTTAAGTTGAAGCACTATAGAATAGAATAACCTAACTTCACAACATTGAAACGTATGTGCTTAAAAAAGGAAAAAAGTACAACAAATTTATCGTGATACTTAAACTGAGCAATCTAAGACACTTAATATTCTAAACAAAATTGTATAGATAATGTGGAATTTCTATGAAAAATTGATTTAGTACAAACGCGTGTATAGAATTCAGAAAATACAATCAGAGTTCAGTAATTTAAATTTTATTAAGATCATYCAATAACTTTGACTTTCGTAGAAAATTTCTGCACTGTGTAGTTTACGCAATTGAGATTCTTTATATACAATAAATACTAAAATTATGAATTCTAAAAGGCTAAATACTGYGAAAAAAATTTTAAAGATAATATGGAATTTCCAAGGAAAATTTCGAAAAATTTTTAGATCTCAGAAGAGAATGGAAATACATATGCCAAAACCACATCCTAAAAGAATGATGAAAAAAAATTAATTATAATAAACATAGACATAAAAAAAAGCGAGAATATTAAATGTGTAGTTTCCAAAAATAAAATTTTTAATATTTATATACCATATTTTTTTAATTGTAAACAAATATTTTTTAGAAAATAATTTTTTTAAAAAGAATCGATTARTAACAGTGGTCAAATAATTTTGAATAGTTTTTCAGCTGTTTTGTGGAGCCTTCTTTTGGCATTTTCTGAGCAAATTTACCAAAATAATGTATGCACATATTTTTAAATCCATCAAAAAGAAGGTATTTCAGTAAACATAAAACCTAGTCACGTTTTTAGAAAATTTTAAATCTTGACTTTTTCGATTGAAAATTTTGGTTATTTCCGATATAAGGTTATACAAAGAGTAAGTGTGGGTCATAAAAAGTTAAAAAGTTTTCTCAAAATATAGTGAAAAAAAACAACATTTTTTGTACAAGTGAAGTGGGTTAAGTGAATTTTTCACATAAATTTTTAGTCTTTTCGAAAAAACTCTATACGCGAAAGTTATAGAAATTTCCATTTGATCTTATAACTTTTTTCGATAAGAGTCAGAGTTTCGCCCGGAATCGACATAAATTTTTCCTTACAAATTTAGCCACGGCCCACCACTTGCTT